ACCCTAAGTGGAGTCTCAAACCAAATCCATGTATTTCACTTGCATCATATATTTTTATTTGCTTTGAAATTTCAAGCTGCTAAATTTGTTGTCAACGCTATGTAATATCCATCCTTTATATTTGGCAAGTTCTTGAAGAGAACGTTTACTGACTATGGGTGTTTTTTAGGTACTGGGGACAAAATAGTGACCTAGAACGTATGCCATTTAACCTCTGCTAGGGAAAAATAGTTGGACCACAGACATCTGATGTTCAAGATAATATTTTTAGTGGTCATGAAAATGGACTTTGAAAGGTGAGCCAGTCAAGGAAGAAAAGAAAAACTATTTGGGAAGAGGAAATTTGCAGAAAGGTGAGAGAGCACAGGCCTCTTTTAAAGAGGGAGAAGTTCAATAAAGCAAGTACTATGTGAAGTTTGATGGTAGAAGGATGCTTGACTAATGGTCACACAGAAACTAACTCATGAAAGGCCGCAGGTCAGTGAAGCCTGTAACGTAAGGGGCAGGTGGCAGGAAGGAAACAGTCTTTCAGAAGTACACAAGTAGAAGGGAAAATTGATTAGAAGAGGAAAGAATGGAGACAGGGATACCAGTAGAGAGGCTTCTATGTAACTGGAGAGGAAAAGCGCTGTGGTGCCTAGTGGCTGAATGGTGGTCACCAGAAGACATGTCCTTGTCCTAATTCCCAGAACCTATGAACGATATTGTTTTTGGAAAGGGTCTTTACAGCTGTAGTTAAATTAAGGATTTGGAAATATAGACTTCATTCTAGATTATCTAGGTAGGCACTGAATCCTGTGACAAGTGTCCTTAAAAGAGACATCAGGGGGATGTTGCAGATGAAAATTGGAGAAGGCAAAGTGACTGTAGAGGCAGAGTCTCAGCATGAGCCAAGGAGTGGCAACTTCCAGAAAGTGCAAAGGGCTAGGAGGGCTTCATGCTTAGGGACTCCAGAGGGAATATTCCTCTGCCTGACCCCTTGCTCCCAGACTTCTGGTTCTGGGAATTTCAAGAGACATATGTTTTAAGCTAGTGTTTTAAACATTTCTTGCTTTAAGCTAGTGTTTTTGGTAATTTGTCATGCTAGCTGTGTGTAAATAATACAAGCAAGGTAGGAGAAAGACCTAGAAGGAGGGAGAGAATCTGGTGTACTCTGAACAGGTCCAGAAGAGCAAGATCTAACCAAGTCTATGAGTGAGAAGCTGGAAATGAGGCTAAATAGGCAAGCAGGTTATGTTTGTGAAAAGCTCTGGGTCTGAATGCACACGCCAGAAGACCAGTGAGTAGATTAGACTGGTTGGAGGAAGACCATGTTTTGGACAATGGAAAGAAAAATTGGAAAGGTAAGAAAAATAAACAGAATGCAATATTTTCTACAGTAGAATACAAGGAGAGGGACAACAAACCTGGGTAGGGAAGGGATTTATGCCCTGCTCCAAATAGAGCAAGGCCTTAGTCACCTTGGGCTGCTATAATACCAAGGTGAGTTGGTTAAACAGTAGACATTTATTTCCTATGGTTTTGGAGGCTAGAAAGCCCCAGGTCAAGATGCTGGCAGATTTGCTTCTCGGTGAGGACCTGCTTCCTGTGTGCAGATGGCTGCCTTTTTATTGCATCCTCACATGTCAGAGAGAGGAAGCTCTGGTTTCTCTTGTAGATGGGCATTGATCACATTATGGGGTTCAACTCCCATGATCTCACTTAAACCTTATTCCCTCTCAAAGCCTCTGCCATCCTGATAACATCATCTTGTGAAGAAGAGCTCCAACCTGTCCATTTTGTGGGGACCCAAACCTTCAGTTCATAGAAGGCAAGGGATTTGACTCTCTGTAGCAGGTGTGGGCCATGTGGATCAGAGTCAGCCTAGAGCTGTTCTCAGTCCTGAGAGATCCACCTGGAAGGGCAGTAGGGCTATACCAGAAGAGCTGTCTATGTGGAGTGAATAATGGAAGGACAGGAGGGGAAACAGGGAGGAAGAGACAGTGGTCCCTTGTAGTAGGTGTCAACAAGTCCAGCAGAGGAGATTCTTTAAGTTTTGGAGGCTGCTATCCAGGCATTCTAATAGCTTGGAAAACTACCTAACAGGAGTTGAACAAGAACTTTTGTTTGCCACCTACTTCTCTTTTCCCTCGGATAGGTCAGGTAGTGGAGGACCAGCACTGGTAGTGGACGAAGAGAACTGCTGGGTAGAAGTGCGTGGGAATAGAGGGCAAGTGCCCGTAGCCCTGTCCCCAAATTCAGGTGGTCCACCAACTGCTGGGTTCTGCTGGTAGATGGGGAGAAGTCTTGCATAAAATCTGGAATGTTTACTGATGCCTTAGGAGAGATATTGAAAATTTCTGAAATACATTGATTTGGGGCTTAAGAGACTTATGGACTGTGAGCAAAAAAGCCATAGATTTACCACATTTTCAGCCATCAGAAGGTGAAAACTTTCTGTAAACAATGGGCTAGAGCTGAGCTTTGCTTATCAATCAAGCATCTTGGTTGTTCAATGTGTGTTCAGACATTGAAAGAAAAGGATGTACATTTCCTTTAAGAAATACCAGTGAGGGACATCTTTCTTTGGAACAAAATCGAGAAGATGCCAAAGACTTCTTCTACATGGATGCTTTCTTTATTCCCTGGTGCTAAAATTAGGATGCACAAATGAAGGTATGAAATGCATTGGTTGATTTTGTCCTTCCTAATTCTTAGAGAAGATTTCATACAGAACTTTCTGAGTATCACATATAGATTCCACTTGTTCTCCCTAGCCAAGGGAGGTCTGTAACAAGGTAAATACAAAAGACCCAGGATTGAGAGGTGGAATTGAAAAGGCTTTTCCACTCTGCTCACGTGGGCTCTCTGCCCTTGGTTCACCACTTAATCTTTTGGTCTCATTTTCTTCATCTGTGCAGTGGAGATAATGGGTCCCAATTTCATCTTATGTTATCTCGATGGAAGGATTCCCACTGTCAGACTGAATGAAAATCTGACCAGTAATACCCACTTATCTACCTCTCTGAAGTATTGTAAGAATTAATGAAGTCTGCAAAGTGTATCGAAGATGCAGAACGAGAGAGGGAGGAAAGGGAGGGGGAGTGAGAGAAGTGATGAGTATTATTTAAAGTGTCAAAGGATAAGTATATTTTAATGAATGTGGAAAAACATACAGCAAAGGATCTTGCCTTGTGCCTCAAAGCTGCAGAGTAGTAAAGAATATATAAGATACCTGAGTAGAAAAACAAAAGCAATAATGAAACCTGTCTGAGACATTTATAGTGAATTATCCTTTGCACACTGAAAATTTCATCCTCCAATTTTAAAATAAAGCACTGATTGGTACACCCAGACTTTAGTGAATAAAATAATGTGTCTTGAAACTTTAGAATCATCAATATAGGAAGGCAAAGGATTAAAGACAGAGACACTCAGAAATAGAATCAAGACAAAGGGTTCTCTGCTTCCCATTCAAAATGCACCATAAGCAGAATTCACTTGCTGTGTATGTGCTTGATAACTTGGTAAGTGCTTTTCTTTCTTTTTGACTTGAAAGGAGGATATGAAAGCTGCTTGCTTAGGAGGATAGTCAAGGGACACAGGAAATGAATAGTACATTTGACAAAAAGAATAACTAATAATTACTTAGGCGAGTTACATTTTTACATTTATAGAGCAATAAAAGATTACATTATTTATAAATTTAAATAATTTTAAAGATAAAGTCACTGTGTCCTTCCTATGAACTAATTATTTCAAGCTACAAACTCTCCAGAATAAAATTACTTTGGCCCTTACAATCTCTTTTTGGTCTCGGAGATGGACAGTGTCCCTTTCTTCCTTTAAAGTATTCCAATTCCCTGTAAATCTAAAACAATTGTCCATGTCTTGCTATTTATTGAATTTCAAATATGTTTTATATTTCTTATTGTTTGCCTTTATGTTGTAGTACAGTGAGCTATAGATAATGTCAAAGAAAATTTATTTTTCTTAAGTCATTTTAAAAGACATGTGGAAGAGATGGTTTTCTGTTCGTCTAGATTAATATGTTTGATGATGATTTTTTTTCTTCTTAATTCTTATTCTTCTTACTCCTTATTTTTGCCAAGATGTTTATATTCCATCTTGCAGAAGTAGTTGAACATTGTTTTTAGCAGATTTTATTTATTTATTTATTTAGGGGTCAGTCCATAGATGGCCAACTCCATTCCTTGGGGCTTGAGGTGAGGCAATGTATCAGAGTGGAAGAGGGTGGCATGTATGAGGCCCTGGGTTTCTCAGCGCCACATATAAATAAATTAATTAATTAAAGATCCATCAATGACTAAATATTTTTTTAAAAAAATCAGACTGTATTAAAACAATGTCAATTTCAGTACAGTAATATCATCATCATTAAAAGTACTTGAAGGGGGCTGAAGTTGTGGCTCAGTAGTAAAGTGCTTGCCTAGCATGTGTGAGGAACTGGGTTTGAATCTCATCACCACTTATAAGTAAACAAATAAAATAAAAGTCCATCAACATCTAAAAAAATTTTTAAAAAGTATTTGAAGGTATTGTTTTAAAGAAGTGCATATGTGGGAACTTCATTTATCTCATTAAAGTGAGGTTGTTGGTGAGGGGATTTGGAATCTGTTCATGAGTCGGGGACTGATTTTCATTTTAAATCCTGCATTCTTTGATCATTCATTTCATTCTTGAAAAAGAAAGCAGTAATTCGAGATATATGATCAAAATTAAATAAAATTTCTACCTGAACATTTCATTTCTCTATGCCATTGAGTATTGTATTTTATTGGTAAAAGTTAAAATACTATTAAGCAGATAACTAAAAATCCCTACCTCAGTTTAAGAAACAATTATGGGTTGAAAAATTTCCCTTCAACTCTTCTAAGGTCATAGAACACACGTGCATGCATGCACAGTCACACACTCATACATACATGCTATGTATGAAATTCTTCCATTTTTTTTTTCTAAATTGACTGCCTCATCTTATTTCTGTTCACTTTTGTGTCCTTAGCAGTATCTTCCTGGAAACCTGGTTGCCAGGAGACCATTCTTGAAGAACATCCACTGCTGTGGCCTCTTGGAAATTTAGGACGTCTAATGAGGAGCTGACAGACGTCATCAATTTGCTCCTGAGAAAGTAAGAGCTTTTTTAAAGTCACAATAAAATACTTTTCTGGATAATACCTATTTTGGTAACCATAACAATAAAGAACGGGATGCAAAGGAGAAAACAATCTAAATTGTACAATTGTATAAATCTAAATTGTCTAAATCCATGCAAGAGGAAGCTGGGATAAAAATAAATCTATAAAATCTGCACTTTCACTTATAGGAGTTTTTTCTGGTTATTTGTTTATTCTGCATTTTAAAAACTTCTCTAAAAGTCTCTATCACCTGTAATTTTAGCTCTGTTATTGATCTATTATTGTTCTCTTTATGATGATTTTGAATCATCAAATTCCATGAAATAGCATTAAGGACAACGGTAAAAAAAAAAAAAAAAAAAGTGAGCGAGCAGGGAGACAATATGAGTTGCGTATTGACTTTGGGCATTCTGAGTAAGGTCCAAGAGTCCAGCCCATTTTAATGGTAACTACATAACTCACTGTATTATGACAAAACAGTGATCAACAAAAGACCTCAAGAACAGGTGAGCATGTAGCAGAATGTGTATTATAGATAAGAAGTGAGGAATATAAACAGATGTCTTTTTCAGTTTTGAAAAAATAGTTAAAATAGTTTAAAAATGTTTATGCTCAAAGAAAAAAAATCTTTAATCTGTAAAATTTATGTGAATTAAAATCCAGCACAGAGATGAAATTAGAAGGAAAACATGTTCTTGGCTAAATTTTTATAGTTTTGATTCTATTAATTATTCCTGTGCTTTTCATATGATGGCTCATGGTCACCAAGGTATGACAAAGTATTTACAATTAATATAATCTTCAAATTTTTTATTCCCAAGCATGTAAAGAGCAATTAAAAGAACAAGTTACAAATAAAGATATGCTTTTATGTGAGAGTTTGGGTGCTGCTAGGAGATGCTACAGTCTGGAGAGCTTAAGATTAAATTTTGATAACCGAAATTTCTGTCCTGTTTCAGGGTGACCATGCATTGGCTGCCCAACCTCACAAGATTTGGGTTTTTTTTGTTTTATAAGAAAAATGCACATACTTAATGAACTTTATTTATAAGATCATTTTGAGAATTAAATGAGAGTATGTATGTATGTAACCAGAGTATCAGTAACATTGTTAAGCACTTAATACACATTAGCCATTATCATTATCATTATTATCAAGTTACATTAAACCAATATGATCATAATTCTGAGACAGGGTTTATGAGAGCAGTCTCAGAGCCACACAGCTAATCATGAACTGCTGTTAAGAAAATGAAAGGGAGTTATTGTCTATTTAATACCATACAAAGAGGACTTTCTGAAGAAAGTAGGTTATCATGAAAAAACAAACAAGAAAGGGTTTTTAGTAGTTTTCATAAGCACAGGAGAGAATTTTGATATAAAATTGTGTTGAGAAACTGTTTGTTCTTGGGAGATGTATAAAATCTAGGTCTTGCCCCAGTTCTACATTCTCGCTGTTTTGTTTAACCTTTAGTGAGACATATTTCATTTCAGCATATAAGTATTAAATTTGTTGCTTGATAGGTTTATGTTTTTTTTATATGCCCATGGAACCATGACCACTTCAACATATAGAACATATTTCTTGACAGGTCCCCTTGGTCTGTTCACAGTCAACCCATTACTCAGTTTCCACTTTCTACCCATTTCTGTGGATTACATGAGACTTCAGGTTCTCTTCTTAATCTGGAAAAATGATCTTGAGAAATCTGAAGCCCTCATTTTCTTCTCTAGTGAGACATAAATCCTCACCCATAAATTTGACTTTATTTATATTCTAGGTCACCTTGGTTCTAGTTACCTTACAATAAGCATGTCCCCAATCCTAACTCATCTGCACTGTGACATTCTTCTGACATTTAGGGGCTTTCTCTCAACTGCAATGTTAACTGAAGTTTCCCTCTTTTTTATTCATAAGCCCTATAAATTTCACCATATTTTTAACCATCCTTGAGTTGTTTTCTCTAAAGCATCTTGGGCCATAGATAGTAAATAAGAAGACAGAGAAAATATGCTTTAAGAAGACATAAAGGTGAATTGTAGGGGCAGCAGCTACACTCTCAATCTCAACCTTTGGAAGAAGGTGTCTTGGTTCCAGTTTCAGTTAAGTCAGAGTGTAACAGCAGAAGCTACTCAGTGTCCCTGGAACCCTCTCCATGTCCTGACACCATCCACATCTCATGTGCCCTTTGTCTTCTCTTGGATTCCTGACCTACATGTTCATGCTGTGAATCCTTCCATTCTAGGAAAAAGAAACAGGTTCAAAGGTGCATGGACCTCTGCAGGGTTTCTACCCAATCTAGGTGGGTATCCACTTGCTAAAATGACCCTGGCCCCCTCATTTGACCATTTATTCACTGGTTGTTCTACAAGAAAGGAAAGCCCCCAGTGACCCGAAAATACAGATTTATAACTGATCACAGAGAAATCAGAATCATTCTTAATATCTTTTTCATGACACTATCAGTAAGGTGTGGGTTTAGTTGTTTCCCATGCACTGCATGAAAATACAAGCAGTATAATAAAATGCAACTTTGGGGAAAAAAATCAAAGAGTAGCTATGAAAATCCTCAGCCCTCAGGTTGCTATGATTTCCTCTTGGAATGTTCAAGGGTTCATTTTACTTTCAACTTTCAAATTCACACTCAAATTTGACACATGAGACATATGTCTCAATTCCTTATGGCACGAACCCTGTGAAAACAGGGGACTCAGCCACCAGTTAGAAGAGCATGTCATTGCAGTATTCAACTCAGCAGGCCTTATGTTGTCTAGAGAGGGTTTCAAGTTGATGAGGCAGAACCAGCAATGTCCCGTCTCAGAACATATGCTACTCTGTAATAAGAAACACACACACACACACACACACACAAAACAAATACAAATACTGAACAACATTATATAACTGAACTGTAATCTCTCAAGAAAAATGGAGTATTCCTGTGTTTCTCATAATTTGACCATGAGTTTTAGAATGGCTGCTCTCTTAAATGAAATCTATCCTTATATAAATATAGAAAATTGGATCTCCACATGAAGCAAGAAACAGGAGCTGATTTTTTTCTCAACATATTTCTCCTCGATAGCCAACGATTCCAGAACACGAGATGACCAGGTGAGCCTTTAGAGAAACAGCAATCAGTTCATAACAACTGCTGTGAGACAGAGAAGGATGACAAAGATAAAATCCTAGGGCAATAAAATGACTGTATAACAAACAAATAAAAACAAATACAGAACCCGTCCTGAGGAAGAACAAATTCCGTGTGAAAAGTCTGTTACCAGGCAAACTGCTGGAAGAAATGGCCATATTTTCCCTCATGAACACAGAATGGATATTCCCCTACAGTTGTGATATCTTCTTAATTATGTTAACACCAGACTTTTAGCCAGAACAGTTTTTAGAGTTCCACAAAGATCAATGCCATATATCCATCTTTATTTTAGGGGTTTGGCATACAAAGAGTTGTCTTATGGGCCCGACAGACATAAGCTCAAAGTCACCCCTAAAGAAAAGTTATCTATGAGAAGCCCTGAAGGTAAGGTCAGGGAAAACTTCACAAATGATATGACATCTACACACAGGCTGAAAGCAATAGGAATCTGCCAGTTAGACAAGGTGAAAAAATATTCCAGTGGAGGGCATGACATCTGCAAAGTCACAGATGGGTGAAGTAGCTTATAGTGAATGGAAAGCAGCAAACAGCTTTGTTTGGCTGAAGCAAATGTTGTGATCTTGAAGCAGCAGGAGATGTGGCTGAAAATGCAGGCAGAAACAGGATCATTAGGGAATCTTTAAGCCCACACATAGAGAAGGAATCCTATAGCCTGACCTGTACTTTAAAATGACACTTTCTGGACTATTGTGCAATGCGAAGCCCCATAAATGGCTGTGCGAGCTACACAAGCGAGAAAACGAGAGCTAAATTCGAGGTTGTGTGGGGTTGTAGGAAAGGTGGGTTTTAGAAAAAGAACTCTTACAAATTGCTAGCGTTTCTGACTTGATCCACTGTGGTAAGGGGTATTTTCTGAACTGAAGAAAGGAATATAATGGGCACAAATTCTGGAGTAAGTAAAGACAAGTAAGTGAAAATGATTTTATTCTTTGAAGATGCTGAACCAAAGCTTTCTTTTGGGTGTTGAGGTGGAAATAACAAAGTAAACTATTTGTGAGATCAATGTATGCACTCTGTCATCACCTAGGATAGATACTGTTATTGTACATAATAGTTTCATATGCTATGAAACTATAGCCAGCTATTTGTGATTTACACTGGAGGGTCTTGAGAATAAAGACTCTTGCAAAGATCTCTTTAAGAGCTTGATGGCAAGCATTTGAAGTCAGGAAATGGCAGTCTAGGGTACCAGGAACCTCAGATAGAAGCCTGATTATTATCAATATAATGTAAACTCTGAGCTCATACCACCATCACTGTGGTTTGCTGAGAATCACTCATAGATCAAAACAACACCTGATCAAAGCCAGAATTTTTATATTGCAACAATACTATCCATTGTAAGTAATTGTTCCGTGCCATAAATATGCTTTTAGAAAACAATTCTTTAAAAACATAAATCTAATCATGTCACTACATTGCACCATACTTCCCAGGGGTTTCCAGTTTTACTTAGACCAGGAACAAAGTTCCTAAAAAACTCACATGTCCTTCCATGATATGCCTCATTCTCCTTATCTCTCTGTCCTCAGTTCTCTTGGCTTTCCCCCCTCTCAATCACAGAATTTCGGCTCCTCTGGCCTAGTTGCTGCTCCTAAAATAACAGATGCCTGACAATTCCCTTTTGCATAGAATATGCTTTCTGTAGATGTCTGCCTAACTTTAAGTGGTTGGTCGAATATTACCTTTTAAGTGAGTTCTTCATTGACCACCCAATTTAAAATCATGGCACCTAAACCATATCCACTCCCTGTCATTTTCTTCTGTTTTATTTTCACCATAGAACCAAAGAGCAGTTGCTGGTCTTCCTTTAAATATTATAACTGGAGATAATGGTATACTGGGAGATGGTAATCGTATAGTGCTAAGAGTAGCTGTAGAAAGAATCTAGATGAGTTGCACTAGAAAATACATATATGGTGGAATAGACTGAGTTTATGCTGCTGTCACAGTGGCTTAATAAATTAACTGAAAAAGTTCATTTATTCCTCAAAGTATGATTAACTCAAGTGAGTCTCCAGGAAAGCTCTCCTCCATGCAGTGATTCAGGGATTCAGGATCATTCCATTTTATGAACCCACCATCTCATCATATAGCTTCGTGATTGCCACCAGAAGGAAAAAGAAAGTGTTGAAAGATCCTATAAAAGGCTATTACCTAACTCAGGCCAGAAGTGATGCATATCTTTTCTGCTCATGGTCTAATGGTCAGAACTATTTCCATGGAAAGGGAGGAGGCACAGCTATTGTTGAGCAGTTCTAGCTCTACCACAACAGCCATATTTGGAATGATCTTCTTGAAAGATAGCAATTTTACAAATCTATGGGGTATTGTGTGATACTTCAGGACATATATATATACACATATATATATATATATATATATATATATATATAAAAAAACATGTGATCTGATCATATGACATATGACATCATTGTCATATCCATCACATTAGACATTTATTGTTTAATCATTTCTTTGTGTTAAGAGCATTCAAAATCCTCTCAGCTAGCTATGTTGAAATATTTAATTTATTGTTGCTCAACCATTGTCATCTCACCATGCTGTATAGTATTAGAAATTCTCGCTCCTACTCAACAGTGTACTTGTGTACCTGTTACCTTTCTCTTGCCATCTCCCCTCCCCCAGGGTCTTCCCAAGTTCTGGTAAACATTTCAGTCTCCACATAAGGAAGAACATGCAGTATTTGTCTATGTCTATTTTATTTTACTTAATATATTGTCATTCAATTCCTTCCACGTTCCTATAAGTGATAGAATTTTATTCTTTTTCTAGATGAATAATATTATACTCTATTTTCTTTATCTTTTCTTTACCCATTTTTCCATTGATGGACTCATTGGTTGATTCTATATCTTGACTTTTGTGAATAATGCTTCATGGGAGTATGGATATCTCTCTGACATACTGATTTCATTTCCTTTGGATATTTACCCAGTAGTGGGATTGCTGGATCATATGAGTTTTATTTTTAGTTTTTGAGGAACCTCTATACTGTTTTCCATAGTAACTACAGTCACCTACATTTCCATTAAGAGTATATGAGAGCTTCCCTTTTTCCACATCCTTGCCACATTTGTTTGTTGTCATTGATAATGGTTTTGATTGGCATTGAAATAATCTTAACCTTCAGCATGAGACAATGCAGAGAGAACTGAAGTAGAACTCAGCAGATCTGTGCATAATATCTGGCTGAGCCAACCACTACCGTCATGGGCTGAGTCAGGTATCTGCTCTGTGATTCTGTTTTCAAATGCATGAGATGAGGGAAACAACACATATCCTGCTTATAACAGAAAGGCTTGCAAGTCACCAATACAAGTCTGCACACAGAATTTTCAAAGGTAGGCTACCATTCAAGTGCTAGTATACAAATAGTATAGTATGATCATAGAACACTGACCAGATAGGAGAAAACGAATCATGCTCTTTTGGGACATAAATATTGGTAAAGTTATCCTATTATCAGAGCCATAGAGAATTTCCCATTTGTGGACCTGCTGGCTTAACAGTTGGTGAGGTAAGGATCTGATAATGCATTAGCATTGGGCTTATTTTCTATGTATTGAGCATGAAGAAAATGCCAAGGAAATTCAGATATACAGTAAATATTAAAGAGTACCAAAATCATGTGCTTACAGACTATGAAGACATTTTTCTCATCATTTCCTTCATTGAATTCAACATTGGCAGATTGCGTTGAATCTTAGGCTCTGTTGCTGGGAGACCCTTCCTGGATGGGTAATTTTGCAGTACTGTCAATCACTGTTCCAAGGATTTATGCATATTTAGCATTGACCAAATACCAGCTATTTAAAGTCTTAATAGGATCTATTTAAGGATATGTCAAAATCTTTTAAAAACATTAGTTTGTACAGATTTGGAAAATTGATGAGTACATTTCCCATCAAACCTCAAAAAGATACTGAATTTATACATAATCATTTTGTTAGTCACCTTAAAGTTGCTGATGATAATAAAATGTTAATGTTAATAATGGCAATAATGCTGTTCTGACAGTTTTCTCAATGTGAAAGTCTTAAAAATAGCAACTTAATTTTTTAAAATACCTTTAATGCAAAGTGCTCAATTTTGTGTTCCTCTATTAAAATTTGGTTTTGATCTTCTAGAAAATTCAGAGTTATTTTATGATATCAGGGTAGAGGGAGGACAAGCTTCCTGCTCCCATTACCTGCCAAATGAACCATTTGTCCCTATGAAGAACTTTTCAGCAATTTCCTGTAGCATGCCATTGATTACCTAGGAGAAAGCTCATTCCATTCATTTGTGTCTGTATTTGATGCAAAGTATTTCACCCTGGAACTCCACTTGTTACTAGATTAGAAGATGCTTCTTGTGCTAATGACTGTATTGTGCACACACATATCAAACATTGGAAACATCTTTATGATTATTTAAAGATCACAGATTGAGATTAAAGTATTAGCAATCATAATGGGGTCAGTATTAGGCCAACCAGCATATAAAAAGTAAGATGTGAATCTTCTAATTGAGGCTTGTGTGATTTTCCTGCCCACTCATTGGCCTACATAGCTCTATTGTGATGAACCAAAGAATATGGACTGAGTCAGACCAGACACAAATACATATCCAAAGCCATGTGCTGGAAGGCAGGCGGGTTATCAACAAGAAGACAAATCATTCCACAACAGAAGTTCCCTGAACCAACAATCTGAGACATGCCCAAGTGGTGGCTTATCATGGAGGGTAAGGGAAAGCATAGTGGATTTTATATGCTGTTTTGTATGATGGTGTGATAAAACAGATCGGGTTACTGCAATGTGACTGCCTTTTTGTTTTATTTTGCAGGCAACTTATACTACTGCTTTCACTCAAGGGTTTGAGTTACTCCTCCTCACTTCCAACACAATTATAACCTTGAGAAATTTTTTCTTCTTCTCTTTGGACACTTCTGCTATTCTCTTTAATGAGAGATACTCGGTGAGCTGATCATAGTGCCAAGTTGAAAGCACAATGTGTAAGAAAATCTGCAGTAAAAAGTATAGAATAATAGGTGTATAAAAATAGAACAATAAGTATTGAAGAGGATGTGGGGGGAAAGGCACACTCATACATTGCTGAAGGGACTGCAAAATGGTGCAGCCAATATGGAAAACAATATGGAGAACCACCATTTGACCCAGCTATCCCACTCCTTGGTCTATACCCAAAGGATTTAAAAACAACATACTACAGACACACAGTCACATCAATGTATATAGCAGCATAATTTACAATAGCTAAATTGTGGAACCATCATTGATGCCCTTCAGTAGATGAATAGATAAAGAAAATAGACATCATCAAACTGCAGTCTGTGTGTATGTTTATATATATAAACATAATATATATATATATATATACGTATATATATATACACACACACAATGTAATATTATTCAGTTATATATATAAACATACACACACAATGGAATATTATTCAGCACTAAAAGAGAATAAAATCATGGCATTTGCAGGTAAATAGATGAAGCTGGAGAATACAATGCTAAGTGAAATTAGCCAATCCCCAAAAAACAAATGGTGAATGATTTATCTGATTTAAGGATGCTGATCCATAATACGCTACAGGGAGTGGGGGATGGGAAGATCAAATGAACTCTATATAGGGCAAAGGGGAAAAAGAGAGGAAGGAGAAGGGAGGGGGCATATGAGTAGAAAAGATGGTGGAATGTGATGGTCATCATTACCCTAAGTACATGTATGATGACAGAAGGATGTGACTCTACAGAAGGATGTGACATGTACACATGTATGTGTACAACCAGAGATATGAAAAATTGTGCTCTATATGTGTCATATGAATTGTAATGCATCCTGTTGTCATATATAACAAATTAAAATTTTAAAAAATTAGAAAGCTCAGCTCAATTGCCACTTTCTACATGAAAGCTCAGAAATGTATCAAAAATATCACACATACACAAGGGGATTCCTTTATTTTATTTTATTTTTTTTTAGATTGGATCCCTTTCTCACACAGATTTTTCTACTAGTCTATTTCTTATATGTCATTAGGTCACATTTACTTTAATGAGCAGCACCAATAGCTTTCCACCAAGGTCCATGTGTCTAACAACTCCAGGGTGTCATCAATATTAAGTTTAGGGGTATCTTTCATATTAGGGGTCATCAAACTACAGTCTGAAGACTAAATCTGGTCTTTTGGTCTTTTGCATGATTTTGGATAGTCTATTACCTAAGAACATTATTTCTTCCTTTTACATTTTTAAGTGGTTAAAAAAGTCACAATATTTTGTAAAATTTAAACTTTAGTGTCCATAAATAAAACTTTATTGGAATGCATCCATAGTCATTTTTTTCACACATTGTCTATTATGACTTCTGAGTTACAAAGGCAGACTTGAGTGGTTGCAACATAGACCACATGGCTTCCAAATCCTAAAATATTTGATATTTGGCCAGATAAAACACAAAAGCTTGCCAATTCCCAGTATGTATGAATGGACCTCCTGGAGTTGGCTGTGCATAAACTGTGCGGCTGTATACCATGATCCTGTTCTCA